CTTGGGGTGAAAAACTGGTGTGCGTAATTGGTAGGTCCATGTAGTGGAAGGGGGGGGGGGGGTCGCTCCGAGCCCCCATTTCACACATCACGTCATACTGCTGTACCCTGGTGATCTTTCAGAAACTCCGCACCTTCCACTTAACTGTTGCGTATGGGCCGTTAGTTCCACGTCGCGGAGACGCGCACAAGCAAGCAAAGCATTTTCTAGTTGTCTCAAAGAATGGAGCAATGCAGCCTCAAAACTGTGAGAAGCCGGTGCGACACGTCACCCCGCTTGCGAGGTCTTCTGTGCCGCAACGTGGATCGAAGATACCGGGCACATTCCACTACATGCCAACCTTGAATTGACTCTAACCACCGAAATCAAACGCAAGATTAGGCATAATTAGGCTTTGTGGGGGCATTTTAGCTGGTTTCCATCGATCACTGCCAATGCTTTCCGTATGGAACTGTAAATTCCTGTAAAAAGATTCAGTAGCATAAGCATCGCGAACACTTGACAAGGGCTTACAGGTCTTAGGCAGCGTTCAGACTTCGCGAAAGCAGCGCTTCGGTCGCGCGTTCGACGCGATCGATGCAGTCGAAAGCATGCGCATCGATCGCGTCGAACGCGCGATTGGAGCGCTGCCGTCGCGAAGTCTGAACGCCGCCTTAGTAACGTTGAGCTGGTAATTAAAACAACTAGCAAAAGCATAGAGCGAAAGCTCAAAGTGTATTCTCCCCAAGCCCAACAGCGCCGCGAATTCTGACAAACATAGCCTTGCCGCACAACACTATGTATGAAACCTCACGAACTCCCAAAAATCATGGCAAAAAGAAGACGAACCTATACACATCCTCGAACATATCATGATAATGAGACCATTTCTCTTTTTCAGCTTCACCGAACGCCTTCAAAATCCGCTTGCGGCACTAAAAAGGGCAATAACACGAAGATTTGGAGACCAGGAAAGCTACCTCAAGCCAAAACAAACATCTGTCTGCCACTTCTTCTCTTCTTCGTCGTTCCACCAGCCTTTCTCTGTGATATAGTGTTTGAACCGCTTGATTGGGTGATCTTTATCGGTCCAACTCCTGCACCTCTTCGTGAGATCTGTAGCATATCAAAATGGCTGACAAGTAAAAGCCCCTTGGAGAACGGGAACAGGTAGTCGAGAGAAGCCAGGGCCTTTCTTCTGCTCGCCCGTGCCCTACAGCGCGTCATTCAAACTCACCGAAAACCTATCTTGTTGAAAAGGCATCAAGCGAGCAGATAGTATGGGCGCGAGTAGCCTATCAGAAATGCGATTGCCCCGTACAACAACTTTTGTCCCTCTCGCTCTCTCCTCTCTCTCTCTCTCTCTCTCTCCTCTCTCTCTCTCTCTCTCTCTCTCTCCTTAGAAGTTTTAGGTCGTCCCGAGATAGAGACAACAGGAGTCCAATGGCAAAATGCATAAAAATGGGTAGCTGAAAACAAAATCACAAAAAAAATGTTAAATGTACCAACCTGTAGACAGTCGAATCATCACTGGTAGAATGATGACCCAATCTATAGGTCATCGATTCTATGAGGACGGGTTTTATGTTTTTGAGATGCGAGCTCACGTGCCGCTTTCGTTGCGTTATAAACCGCGAACACGTCGTTTCCGTCGACACTTCAATGGTTTACAAATATTGATTGACCACCTATAATCAATCGCTACAACCAGCCAAAAACATACCCGAATAGTGTTTGCAATCGCGTAACCCGCCTCCTTTGCCACGCGATACCGTCTCCTCCGTACTGTTCTGACGTGGGCGTACTGATGGCGTATCCATTGTTACGACAGAAGAATATAATAGGGCAGTCCTGAAATCGGATGACATAATTATTAGGTTGTCCGGAAAGTTCTCAGCGTTTGGGTGTTTCAATGTTTACAACGATACGTAACGGTTTTTAATACTCATCGGATTTAATCGAAATAGGCACCAGTTCGAATCAGCACACTTTTGCCAATGTGACAGCAGTCGTGAAATCCCATCAAAGTAAAAAAACTGCCCACCGGTTTCGAAAATTCCCGAAATTCGCTGTAAGGCTTTTTTCGCCCTGGTCCTGACCTGATAATATTTTTCAGCAAAGAGTCTGAAAATGCTTTGAAACAGGTGATTAAGTCAGTTGTATGAAGCGGGTTTCTGAAGACATGCGGCGGATTGAGGTAGTAACTTCAACCCCCAATTCGTTCAATTTATGGATGGATAGTGATTTGTGAAACGTGTGGGCGGGCGTTGTCATGCAAAGGAATCGGACCCTTTCTTTTGATAAGTGTTGGCTGCATCTGACAAATTTTCGGTACAATTCGTCGATTTCTTCACAGTAGATCTGGATATATAGCATAAAATAGATGGTGTGAGGGTTTGGCCTGGTGATAAAAAGTTATAGTGGATCACACCAGCCGATGACCACCAAGCCGTGACCAGAATCTTTTTTTCGTGAGGGTTCGGCTTTAAAAATTACCTCGGTGGTTCGTCGAAATCCAACCACTGTCCGGAACGTATCCTGTTATCATACATGACCCATTTTTCATCACAGGTGACAATTCCGGTCAAAAAACGGGTCGCTTCTGTTGTGCAAAAGCAGTGAAGAAGAAGCCTCGAGACGTGCCAATTTCTGCCGGTCACTCAAATTGTGGGGCACCCAATTGTCGCGTTTTTTCACACCTTACCAATGCGTTTCAAAGACCACTCTGCAACAGCTGGATTGCAAGGCCCCTAGCTACTTCTGCTATTCTCTCGAACTGTGGGATCAGCTCCAAAATCCCCCTAAAATCCTCGTCAGATATTGCTTTAGGTCGACCGCTATGAGGTTCATCTTCAAGGCTGAAATCTCCAGAACGAAATTTGTTGAGCCATTGCCGCACAGTGCTTTCTCTAGCACTATTGGGCCCCCACACCTGGTTAATTTGTTGAGCTGTTTCGATTGCGGATTGCCCCAATTTATAGTCGAAGAAAAAAATCGTCCGAAGTGCTCTTTTCACATGCTTGAAAAAATCTTGAAAAAAGGGGGTTTATCAAGCAATGGTGAAACGGCAATTATACCATCAGATAGCGCAAGAAATTCTCTACAGGATGTGCTACTGAGAAGCAAGGCAGAATGAGTTTTTAATCAGCAGTGAATGTACAAAAAATAGGTGCACAAAACGCTGAGAACTTTCCGGACAACCTAATAATACTAGTTATGTTTTGATGCTAGTTTTCAGTGTTGATCTGAAGAACGGCTTAGGCCCGAAACGTTATCAGTAAAAGTTTGGGATACAGGAGCTGTCATTACATACCTGAACAAGATAATATACTGCAAATTCTGCTCTACTGCTACACTAGAAGTTCGGTAAGGTCACGTTCATACTTCGCGACTCAGTCGCGAGCTGGGAATCGAGCGACTGTGACCAACTCGCGCTCCATGGCTAATCGCTGGGCCGTTTCAACGTTGGAAGAACTTCTGTCTTGAACAAGACTGAACACGCTGTAGAGGTCTAAGGATTAGCGGTGGAGCGCTGTTGATGCAGTCGCGCGACTGAATCGCTCAAGTCACGAAGTATGAATGCGGTCCAAGGAGTGAGTACCCCTATGTAACAGATAGGAGTTTCAGGCTGGGCAGACTATTTATTATGCGTGAAAAAGTGGAATACGCGAAGCTATA